TAGAAGATAATTATTTAATATCCCTGAAATGGAAATTGGGCAAAAGTAGAAAAGTATATCAAGTGAATTCTATTGCAAATTCGATACCTATATGTTATTTGAATCGTTCACAAACATACATTCACCATTAAAATAGGCCTTTTTCTTTTTCTTCTTGTCCTTATTGAAAGATACTTCTTTCCAATTTTTCATACATATTAGTTTCTAGTATAGAGAACTTTAAATAACTTTACACGTTTGATGTTTAATGTTATTTTTATAACTATTGTAAATTTTTAGCTTATTTATTATTATTTATAATTATTTTTTAATTTTTTATTATATTACCGGTTCGACCAGTGACCCAACGGTTGAACCAGTGACTCATTGACCCGGTTCCTTCACCAGGTTGTAGTCCGGGCCAAGTTTTAAAACTATGCTTCCTCAATTTCCTTTTAGTTTATTTTTCATCAGCAAGATTACTCGTTCTCTCAATTGTTCTGTAACTTTTTATCCCTCTTATTATGTCTTTCAGGATCTCAAAGACGAAGAGGTGATCCGGGACTTGAAACTAGTGGCCTATATTATTTTGATTTTGATTCACCTACTCAGGCTCTACAAACCTCGTTGTCTTCTTTTCAATGACATTGTCATCTTGGACATCCCTCTCTCTAGAATCTAAAGCGCTAAGTTCTCAATCTTAGTTATGTATCGTCTTTGTCTTGTAAAGCTTATCAACTTAGTAAGCATCATCGTGTGTCATTTCAGTTTAAAGTCAATAATTGTGTGTCTAGTCTATTTGAGTTAATACATTCTAATGGATGGGGTCCAATAAAGAATATTTCATCTAATAAATATCCTTATTTTGTATCATTTGTAGATGACTATTCTTGTGTGGCTTGGTTATGTCTGATGAAAGTTCGGTCTGAATTATTCTCTATATTTGAGACCTTTCGTAAGGAAATAAACACTAAATATGATTTTCGTATACGTATTTTACGTTCTGACAATACTCGGGAATATGAATCTGACCCTTTTTCAGCTTATCTTAGTAAAAGTGGCATTAAGATTTCCTATGCTTACACCTCTACATAAAATGGTGTTGTTGAACGCAAGAACCGTCATTTGTTGAAAGTCACCTGTGCCCTATTATTCCAGATGAATATTTTCAGATATTTTTGGAGTGATGTTGTTCTTGTTACTTGTCAATTTATTAATCGTATGCCATCCTTTGTATTAAATGGGTAAAGTCCATATTTTGTTCTTTTTCCTAATAAACCCTTATTTTTCCTAACTCCTAAAGTTTTTGGATGTGTCTGTTATATTCACAATTTGAGTCCTAGATTTGATAAACTTGACCCTCGAGCTACCAAATGTGTATTTTTTGGTTACTCCCGTACGCAGAAAGGGTATCGTTGCTACAGTCCTTCTCTGCGACGATATTTTACTAGTGTCGATGTCACATTTAAGGAATCTGTTCCATATTTTTCAGTACCTTCTTAACCTTTGGATCTAAACTTTAGGTCATCTCTTGTACCACTATCTTCAGATATTCTATTGCCGATTGTGTTATCACCTACTTTACCTCTTCGTATATACTCTCGTCATCCTCGCCCATCGACTGAGGTGCTCGTAACGTCTTCTTTGCCTCCTTCTGATCCTGGTACATCAGTTAATTTAGACTCTTATGATCCTAGTTCTTTACCTATTACTCTTCAAAAAAGTACTCATTTGTGTGTTACTAATCACCTCATTGCTCATTTTGTTTCATATGATGCCTTGTCTCCCGTCTTCTCTTATTTTTTCTCTCAATTATCTACCATATCTATTCCTAAGTATTTACAGGATGCATTATTTAATTCGAGTTGAAAGAAAGCTATGGAGAAGATTGATGCCTTACATCATAATTGGACTTGGGATCTCGTTTATTTACCTCCTGGTAAACGAACTGTTGGTTATCGTTGGGTGTATACTGTTAAATTTCATCCAGATGGTTCTGTGGGGCGTCTCAAAGCCCAACTTGCAGCAAAGGGCTTTACTCAGACCTATGGTGTTGATTATAAGGAGACTTTTTCTCCTGTTGCCAAAATTTTTTCTATTTGTATCTTAATTTCTTTGGTTGCTAATCTTGATTAGTTCTTGTTTTAGTTAGACGTCAAGAATGTCTTCCTACATGGTGACTTGGTTGAAGAGGTATACATAGAGCAGCCACCTGGAGTTACTGCTTAGAGGGAGTATGGTAAGAATGTATGTCGGTTAAAGAAATTTTTGTATGGTTTAAAGCAGTCACCGAGGGCATGATTTGGTAAGTTTTCAAATGCAGTTTTAGAGTTTGGTCTTCTTCGATGTCAGACAAACCATTCTGTGTTTTATAGACAGATGGATGCATTGGTGGTCTATGAAGATGATATTGTGATTACTGAAAATGATTCTGAAGGGATTGTCAAGTTAAAAATCTTCTTGCAAGATCGATTTCATACTAAGGATTTGAAAAAACTCAGGTATTTCTTGGGTATTGAAGGAACTCGATCTAAACAAGATATTTGTTTATTCCAAAGAAAATATATACTTGACATACTAGAGGAAGCAGGTTTGTTGGGTGGCAGACCGATTGATGTTCCTATGGATCTGAATTAGATACTTTTGATGGATGATGGTGCACTGTTTGAGAATTCGGGTCGATATCGCAAATTGATTGGGAAGCTCAATTATCTCACTATTATTCGATCGAATATTTCTTATATAGTCAGTATAGTAAGTCAGTTCATGGGGTGTCCTAGAGTACCACATTGAGAGGCAGTTACTCAGATTTTGTGATATCTCAAACGTGCTCCTAAACTTAAACTGTTATATCGAGCTAATAGACATCTTAGAGTGGAAGGTTTCTCAGATGCTGATTGGACTGACTCTCCTTCTAATCGGAGATCAACCACTAGCTATTGTACTTTCTTAGGAGATAACGTTATCTCATAAAAAAGTAAGAAACAATCCGTGGTAGTAAAATCCAGTGCTGACACTGAGTATAGGACAATGACGGATATAACGAGTGAGTTAACTTGGCTACGATCGAAATTGGATTTCCAGTTCAGCCTCTCTTACAGTTGTTTTGTGATAACCAAACAACTATTCATATCGCTGTCAATCTAGTGTTTCACGAGAGAATTAAACATATTAAGGTTGATTGTCACTTTATTCGGGACAAGATAATAGCTGGGGAGATTACGACTCCATTTGTAAAATCTGAAGATCAACTTACAGAAATATTTACCAAAACATTGAGTCGTACACGTCTTACAGTAATTTGTTCCAAGCTTGGATTATATGATATATATAGTCCAGCTTGAGGGAGAGTGTTAAGAGTACTAGGGTATTATATGCAAAATTGTTAAGAGTGTTAGGGTATTATGTGTAAATATAAAAGGGTGTATTTGTCTTTCTTAATTATTGTAACTTAACTATAAATATAAGTGATGTATGAGAGTTATGTCAAGTTTTAACCTCTCTCTGTTTCTCTCTAATATCATGTTAATCCTCTACATTTAACAAAACCCAAAATCTTTGGTTCCATAGCAACTCCACATATTCATTGAGGTGTCTAAACCACCTATAGTTAGCAGCAATTGGAAACAGATAAGAAGTCTACATAAGGACGTCTCCCGTGCCAATAATCCAACAATGTGTCATTGGCAATAATTGTTCACCCAAACATCCAAAGCCACTTTCTACAGGGCCATAAGAGCAGAAGTGCAGCCATATGAGCCAAATACATGAAAAGAAGAGGACAGGAAAAAAGACATCGTCCAGAGAAATGTAGTATCACTTTCGTTCCTCCACCCCCTCCCCGTTTTTCTGACACTGCATTCCAATAGTTGGAACAGTGTATTCCTCCCCGGTATTATCTTTAAAAAACGAAATCCTGTATCACTTCAAATTACCAAAGAGAAATCTAATAGAGCTTCATGTACTCCCTCAGGACCAAAGCGAAATATCACCCCCTCCCCATTTTTCTGACACTGCATTCCAATAGTGGAACAGTTTATTCCTCTCTTGTATTATCTTTAAACAATGAAGTATTGAATCACTTCAAATTACCAAAGAGCAAATCTAATAGAGCTTCTGGTACTGCCTCAGGTCCAAAGCAAAATATCACCTGTGCACTTGAAGGAAATTAAAAAGTGATAAAAAGAAGCAGTCTTCTAGGCATACTCTATTGGCCTGGAAGATGAGTTTGCTTGCCTCCCCAACCAAAATGATGAAAAGAAGTGAATAGTGGGTCTTCAGAAATCAAGCCTGTCAAGCTTCTACAATCTTTACAACTATAACATTATCAAGAAAATTGACCAAGTACTGAGATACACCAATTGCAGTTGGATAAGAGGCCCACCTGTTTCCTTTCTGGTGGGTTGTAAGGAGGGAAGAAAAGAAAAGGTTAAGTGACAATCATTATATACATCGTTGTCTTTGTGTGAGGAAAGCCAGTATGCCAACTAGGAAGTAACAAGAAGTCATGAGGCATATTTTTCAAATATCCCAGCACACTAATATGGTAACAAGCACAGAAAAAACCCAATATGTTTTAGAATTAACAACAAATCCCTATCTAATAAGGGATAACATCAATGAGATGCCTCAACATCATAAAGTTTACACTGCAATACTCCATTATGAGTCTAGGACTTCAAAAACATGTATTTTAAATTGCAAATAGCCATTCTATTTTGCACAGTCCTTGGCATATCCTAACTTGATAATCAATTTTTTGGCAGTACATGTTTTCAAAATATTTCGCTCATTGAGGCTAACTTTTCCAAATATTCTCTGTTCCAGGTTAATCTTCCCCCTTCAAAGATATTCACTCAATCCTAGACAGTTTTTCAATCTTGCACAAAACTAGCTTAGGATTAAATATATCCAAGAGACAGCTACCTAGTTTTGATGAACAAGGGAAAAAATCATGATTCTTGACAATGATATGAGCATATTTGTGATGTGTACACGTCTCTCGCATATATTGGCAAAATTCAAAGGTTCCTATTTTGGCATCCGACAAACGAAAATGCATAGGTACATTTTCTGTATAAGGGGGCGTTCTTTCCAGGGATGTGTCCATTCTCAAAATTCCCACAAAGTGTCCAGACTCCAGACCATCCCAAATAGCTCACTTCAAAGAACCCTTCAACATCTGTAAACCACACCAGAAAAGACACAATTTCTCTATGCAAAGTCAAAATACATTGCCTAATTGAGTTGCAGATCAAAAAAAAAAGTCAGACGATAAAGTCACTAATCTATTAATTGATAAAAGGGTGTGGGAATGATCATGAGAGACTTCAAATATCAAAAGAGCAAAGCATAAAAACGGAGGAGGTTAAAGAGAGAATTCCTCTAGGCAAAATGAGGGAAGATATAGAATCGAGTACATTCACGAAATGGCTGAGTTCTGTCCTGATCAGCCGAATCGGCAACTCGGCAGAGTCAAACCAATAAATAGAAAATTAAAAAACGAAAGATTTGTATCGACTGCAATAACATCAGCGGGAAAAGAAAAGGATTAAGAGAACGCTTGTATAGTGACAATAAATGAAAATATTCGGCGCCTCTTTGTGCGACTTAGCAAGTGTATGGGTGGGTGGGTGGTTGACATAGAGAGAGAGAGAGAGAGAGAGGTTAGAATTACTTCGTGTGCGAATGAGGCGTCTCAAACTGAAAGATTGATCGTAGGAGCGACGATCTGGCAAACGGAACTCGTTGATGTTGAGTCTCCATGAAGCCGGAGGGAGCATCTCCGATTCGGGAGGGAGCAAGTCGGCGGTGGGAGAGAAAAACTGGGATTCCGGAGAGAGCAACTCTCTCCTACTGCTTTCATCTATTTCGACAGGTCCACCACCACTCTTCTTCTGCAACTCCTCCATCATTCTTTCGCAAATTGTTAGGGTGATAATAGGGGATGGATCAATGGGACATTGTATTATACTATATATATTCGACCTAAACAAAGAGAAGTTGGTTCCTCTTGAGATGCGATATGACGTGGTGATAACAAGCACAACGCACGCATGCAACCACTCCCACCCATATATGTATTTATTGGCTAAAATCCAACCTTTGTACGTCACCCCCTTCTCCTCGTGGTTCAAAAATTAGCATGTAACCCCTTTATACGTTTAGATTAAAGTGCTATTGTTATTAATTCCATCCAAATTGGGGAACACACTCTAGTTGGTATGATCCTTTGTGTTAATTAAATTTTTAATTTTTTTTTGTTAATTGAGCATCTGAAGTCTCTAATTGTGTTAATTGAACCCTTTTACTTATCTCCGTTATATTTTTTAACAAAAAATAGTAAAATGTGCCACGTAATTGGAGTAAACTAATCATACGACTCTTGTATCAATAAATCCTTGAACTTGTTTTTTTTTTTTTTTTTTGTGTTAATTAAACTCTAAACTTTCTAATTATGCTAATTGATGGTTTAAGAAAAATATGTTTAATTTACTTAATTTTAAGGGACAAAAATACCCTTAGTCTGTCTCACCCTCTTCTCTTATCTTCTTCGATAACTTCACAGCCCAGGACCACCACCACCGGCCACTTCTTCTTCTTCTTCTTTTGATTACTGAATTTGAATGGAGGCTATTATTCTATTGTTGATTAGAAGTGTAGCAGTTGAATGTAAATGCTCATGCCATAGTTGGGTGGCTTTGGTAGAAGAATTGATTGATCAAGAATGGTGGGCTATTCTTACTCTGCAAATCATTTTTTTTACTCCATTTATTTCTTTTTTTAAATTATTAAACTAATAATTTATATACTCACCCCCATTAGTAATTAAATTCATCCTATATTACATACACTCCTCTTAATAGTTAAGTTCACTCATTTTATATGCACCACTTGAATGAGTCATTGTAAGAAAAAAAAATAATTAATTTGCATGCATAAATATATTTACGAAATAAGAAAAAGAATAAAATAAGGAAAAAACAGAAAAAAAAAATAAGCAAACTGAAACAAGAAGGAAAAAACCAATCAAAGATTAAGGAACAAGTAAAATGATAAGACGTAAAATTGAATATGAAAAAAAAACACAAACATCAAGCAAATACACAAAATCGAACAAAAAAATATAATAAGCAAATATGCAAAAAAGAACAAATAATGTAAAAACATAAAAATATACATAAGGGGTGTATATAGCATGAATGAACTTAATTAATAATGTGGTGAGTATATAAAAGGTCAGTTTAATAATTTGATAAAAAAAAATTAAATAGGGTGAAAATAAAAAATTTGTGGGAAAAGAATAACCCACCCGACCAAGAATTTTGGTGACTTGGTTGATAGTGATTGGGTGGTTCATTGGGTGTGCATCGAGTAAAGACGATGGTGTGCTTTAGTTTATAACGATGGATAACAATGGTAATTTATTGGTGATGTAACAGAGAAACATAGTGGATGAATGTGTAGTGGGGGTGGAGGACATGAGAAGTTTATTTATATCAGAGTAATGCTATTTGGATATAAAAATTTAACCTAATTTTACTGACATAATATGATGCGGTTTAATAGAAATCATTAGATCAACATCAAGTT